TGGCAGCTTTGACTTCTTCTCTGGAAACTGGAACACACAATAGGTCACCCTGATCAGAGGGAAGAGGAACAAGTAACTGAGAAACCATATCACTTGCTACTCTTTTAACTTCTTGATTCTTAGTCCCCAACAAGTTTTTGTTAAAGTTAACTCCTTCCCTACTCATATCCTGGACCTCTGTAAGAACTGTACCATCCTCAGTTACTACCTTTTTAATAGTAGATCTAGATTGTCTAGCCTTCACAGAATTATGAAAGAAAGAAGCATTGAGATCCCCAGTCTTTACTCATAGCATTTTAGATTTTTGCCTGTCAAAGGATTCTTCCTCTTTGAGTAGATTATTGAGCAGAGCTTGACAATCATTCAGTGCTTGAAAGTTAATAGGAGTAGGATGAAGTAGGGCAGCCAGATGTAAATGCTTAAGTTGCCTCTTCTTTTCTTTGACTCTCTCAGAAATCTCAGAATAGAAAACTCTGTTCAGTTTCCTCAGTTGCCTTTGAACCTCCCTCAACTTCTGGTACACTATAAACATAGGAGTACCAGTAAAATATTTGTTCCAAGCTTCCCTTATTATATGCTTATACTAAGGATGAGATTCCCAGTTGCTGAAGTATTTGAAGGGTTTAGGTAAGGTAGCTATGAGACAATCATTTTTTATGAGCATGCCACAAGTGATTAGAGAGCCCCAGAAGAAGCGTTTTAACCACATAGTTTGGAAATGTAGCTAGCCATCTTGAATTGACCAATACTCTGTCTATCCTTCGAGCTATAGGATTCCCACCTTGTCTATCTGTCCAGGAGAACCAAGGACCCCCAAATCTACTATCTTCCAACTCCATGTCTTCTATCCATTTGCCAAAAGACTCCATACTGTGATTCCTGCTAGGGTCGTTTGAAGCTTCAGTAACACATTTTATAGCATTGAAATCCCCAATCACTAACCATGCAAGGGGATAAGGCTTAAGGACAGGATGATGATACATTCTAGTTCTTTCTCCTTCATCATTTGAACCATGGACAAACGTTATCTTTGCTGAAAACTCACCTCTAACCTCGCCATGAACAAACTGATCAGATCTTTCCAACACAATGAAATCCATATCTTTCTTCTAGAACACCCATAGGCACCCTAACTTTGAGTGTGCATAGTTATGAGCAAACTCCCACATGTCAAACTTTGATTTCAATATCTTTTTTGAGTTTTCTTACTTCACCCTTGTTTCAATTACTCCAAACACGTCTACATTATGCTTGGAAGGAATTTTGCGGGCGGAAATAGTGTGGGCAAAGAAATGAGGCAACGGGAAGGGAAGAGCAGACAAGAGTTGTTGCGGAGCAAGGTTGATACTCTCTACATCAACAAGTGTGAAGGCTGGGTAGAAGCAACTTTCGATGGGTCTGATTGTGCCCGGAGTCTTGTTGGAATGCTTGGACATGATTGGAAGAAGAGGAAGCGTAAACAATTGTTGAACCAACGTCGAGCATCAGCGGAAAGGCCAGGTAGAGGGTTTTACTACGACTTTGAGGACAAGGTCGCTCTCAAGAGGGGTGGATTGTTGAGGGTATGGTTAGTGTTAGGGGTAGTATAGTAGTTTATTATGTTAGGTAAATTAGGGTTTAGGCTATAGCCTATATAATGTACATTAGTCGTTCAGTTAGGGGGAATCAAGAAATAATCAGAATAGTTCAACGTATCTTCCCAACCCTAATTTCCTCTCTTCTCTTCCTAAATCGGCCGCGCGGCCACTTATTGCTCTTCTTCCCCAAATCTTCGTCTAATTTTCCCCCTATTTCTGTTCTTAATCACATCCTATTACGATAATCTCGGGTGTCAAGATCCACGCCTCCAACAACGACTTCTACATAGAGATGGAGGGAAAGTGCAGGTGCGTAGGGCCGAATCCCTTTTGGGGTTTTCCTACGCTTGATAAAAAAAGACATGTTTGGAGGTTGAGATTCTCCAAATAGATACATTTGATCAATTTGTGTATTATCAATTGTGTATTGATTCAATGTATGTATTAGAAAAATACTTTGTATGGAGGGGCAATGATGAAACAAAAAGTAGGGTAGACAATCCATTATTAACAATCTCACATTTTGGTAGAGATTGATAATCATTCATTTTGATTGATTATAGGTGGGTTCAGCAAAAACGTAATACATACATTTTAACTCAAAATGAACCAAAAAAAAGACTAAATATGAGCTTGATGATTGAATACAAAGCCCAATTTTACCGAAGCCCGCCGTGAAGCGCGATCTCTCATCTTCTTGTGTATGTAATTAACAAAAGGGTAAATACAATTTAATATTCGAAAAACAATATAATAGTCAAACCGTCAACTTTCCATCCGGTCAAACGTTAGTTGACTCTGACGTGGACGCTAACGTGGATGATGCATTTTGACACATCAGCAAAAATATAGAACCAAAACAATTTGATAGCAAAACATTTTTATCATGTACAAAATAATAGCCAAATCTTTTATTTTTTGCAAAATAATAGTCAAACTTTTTGAAATACAATTTAATAGCCTTTTACGTTGAAGTTAGCGCTAGAACTAGCAAAATCATACATAAGTCCGGATGTTTTGATAGCGCAAAAGCACAATTAATTAAAATATTATTATTTAATTTAGAGCATTAAAAATAATAATTTTAAAAAGTAATTAAACTAGGAAAAAGGTAAAAAATGGTTCATCCTCTTCTGTCTTCAAAGACAATAAATCTTTTATATCATTTTTTGCCTACAATCCTTCTTCTCCTCCTCTTCCTTTTTTTTTCGTACAATAATACTCTTTCGAAATAAAAATGAAAAATTAATTAGTGATTTTTTTGTGTCTTCCTCCGTATCCTTAGAGGGGAATGTGCGCCGGTGAATCGTAGAGTGGTCTCCTCCTCCGAATGCAGTGGCAAGGAGGCGGGCGGCGAATCGAAAAGCAACGGCAGCGAGGGAATCTTCCTCCGCTCTCTTTAATTCGTCGATTGGAAGAGCATGGGAGGGATCTGATTCCAAGACCTTTCCTCTCGGTGGGGAAGTAACAAAAACCCAGGAATTGAACCCCAGTCGTAGAAGTAACAAAAACCCAGGAATTAGAAAAGGAAGAGCAACTGTTCCAATCGATTGGCTATTATGACATAATAGGAGTAGGAGGACCTGCAACATTGATTTTTAAAGATATGGGTAGTGGGAGACTCAAGTCAGCCCATCAGAGCCGTGGAGCCGGACCATTCTCTGAAGATTGGGGGCTCCAAAACAATCGCCTAATCCGGTGCCCCAAAATCCCCTCGGCCATTGTTGTCGATCCTTGCCAACGGAGTCTGCTCGCGGAAGCTGAGAACATGGATGAGTTCCCCAGAGGAAGCGGTGGAGCTGGAAAGGGAAGAGGCAAAAGTGGTTTGCCTCGCCAGAGTGGTTTGCCTCGCAGTTGAGAGATGGGTCACCGTGTTTGCCTCTCCGTCGCTCTACGCCCGACGATTCACCCTTAATCAAATCAAATTCCTATCAATTGCGTTTCCCAACCTGCCGACCACCTTCTCGATTTGGGGGATTCCGCTGCTCGAAGACGATAGAAGCTGCCACCGAAGTAGTCTGCAGGGAGGGCGGAGGTTGTGGCCGCAGCCAAGAAACTCTTTGCGGATTGAGGGGGTTGAAGATGACGATGAAGATGGATAAATCGTAATAGTGGGGATGAGGACGAGATGATCCATAGAAAAATTAGCTTTTTGTTTTTGGTTTGTCATAATTATTTTGTTAAAAGTGATAATATAAAGTGCATAAAAATTGTATTCAAAATTTCACCCACTTCAAAACCGAATAGATTTTGTGTTAAATATTAACGTTCAACACTAACGAAAAATAGCTCAATACATAAGTGGAATAATAAAATAGGAGGGTAAATTCCCAGAATATTGTTTTTTTTAATTTACCACGAATATAGTGGTTTAAAAACTATTTACAAGAATATTGTGTTTTGATGGAGGGAAGTTGGCGACGGCGCCCGAGACTCAGAAAATCGAGTTTTTAAGGGTATAGATAGCGACGGCGCCCGAGTCTCAGGTTTTGGCGCTGTTTGATAGCGACGACGCCCTAGTCTCGGGCTTTGGCGCTGTTTGAAATTTTTGAAATTTCAAACAGCGCCAAAGCCCGAGACTAGGGCGTCGTCGCTATCAACCTTTGTTTTTTTATCCCCTTCCTCCCCGCCCTCTCGCACCAGACCACAATACCCTCTCCACTCCCTCTCCACTCCCTCCCTCCTTCATCCTCCATCCCAGCGCCGACGCCAAAACTAGAGTGGCGACAACGAGAGGAATAGGGCAGCGCCTCAGTCTCAGGCGGCGGCGCGCGGAGCTCGGCGAAGGCGCCCCATCTACAGCGGCGGCGCAATGTCCGACGACCAGCAGCAGGCCCCCGGCGGCAGAGGAAGAGGCCGAGGCCGGCGTGGCGGGGGTGACGGCGGCGGCGAACACTACAGGAGTGAGTCCTTGCCGGCGACGACTTTTTTTTTTTTTGGCGACTTTTTTTTTATGTTCTAATATTTTTTTTCCCAGTTCCTAGGCTTATCGATCCTTGTTCGATGAGACCACCACCTGCGACAATCGATACTGCTCCGCATGATCTGTAACTTCTTTGGGGGCATGGTCACTATCGGATTGACGTAGTTTGGGCAAATGAGGTAAGTTTTTTTCAAACTATTTCTATAGTTTTTTATTAGCTGTATAATAGAATATAATAGAATTAAATTAAATTAAATTACGAATAGAATTAAATTAAATTAAGAATAGAATTAGATTAAGTTACGAGTATATTATATTACAATAGGTTTAGTTTAGATATATAAATATAAATATTAGGTGAATTGAAGGAATTGAATTAATATAGTTTTGTGCATTAATTATAGGCTGGTGATCGACCTTACCACATTCGTCATACGGGCAATTTAGTTCGATACAATCCACTGTACCTGCCGTATCTCGTCGATGTCGGCTTGTCTAGTGTTCTGCCACTAGCCCCTCTTACTGGTGATCCGGGTTTGATTACTGCGCTCGTAGAGCGTTGGCGACCCGAGACATCGACATTCCACATGCCGTTCGGTGAGGTGACAATCACCCTAGAGGACGTTGCGACAATCACCGGATTAGCGATCGACGGTGATGCCGTCGTAGTAGACATACCAGACGAGGACTGGTCGGCTATGTGTCTTCGACTGTTAGGACAGGCTCCTACTGATCTTGGTGGCGGCGTCATCCGGATTACTTGGCTCTGGGAGACTTTCGATGAGCTACCGCTTTCTGCATCACCCCAGACGACAGAGCAGTTTGCAAGAGCGTATGCGCTGTCTCTCATGGGAGGTGTCTTGTTCTCCGATCGGTCTGGAGGTTCAGTTAACCTGCAGTACCTACTTTTGGTGGAGGGACAGCATGGGCCATCACGTGGCCAGCAGTTCGTACAGGCAGCCAGCGAGTCGATTGAGTTGTGGAACCGTCGACATGAGTTCGTAGCGCAGACGAGCTACAGTGACGTAGAATTAGCTTACCACTCGGAGAATCAAGAGTGGTATAAAGTTTTCACTAGACGTTCAGGCACACGGAGAGTTGCTGCACTGAACGCAGCGGTGAGTTTTTTTAGTAATTAAAATTTGTGTTTTAATTGTTTTAGATGTGTAGAATTTTTGATATTTTCCATTTAAATTGCAGTACGACTGCATGGAGTCCGTTGAGCAGGGTTTACGTGATGGGATGAGAGTAGGAGGGCTATCATATGACCAGTTGGCGGAGTATGCTGACCAGTTGGCGGCAGAGGTTACAGCTATAGGTTTTAGTGATCGCCGACATCCTGATACAGAGCCGATACAGCTGTACCCTGATGAGCGCAGCTTAGCCAGCTGGCCAGAGCGTAGGACTCAGCCATCGGGCTGGGGCGTGCCACCGCCACAGTCCACAGAGGAGCCCAGGAGGAGGAGACAGCGACGTGAGCAGCGTGACGTACCTCGAGGAGTGAGGTACTCAGATCGTCAGCCAGTCAGACCTACTTCGACCTTCACATTCCACCAGTCTTCTCAGCCACCGTTACGGCCAGGCGCTTTTACCGGATTTCAGGCAGGCACCAGCTCTTCTAGCCCCTCAGTTTCAGCCCCAGGAGGATAGCTTTCACACAACTCAGCATGCTACGATGGGAGGAGGAGGAGGGCACATGGGATCAGGTAGTGCAGACCTGCCACATTTGGACGTCGATGAGTGGGAGCGTGTCGGTCTGCAGGTTCAGGATCAGGACTTCCAGACATCTCATCGGGCATATGAGCAGCAGCGACGAGAGGGTCCACCAGATGAGTAGGTTCAGTCTCAGGTGGATGATATGTTCGGCACACAGGATCAGGATGATGGGGCGGAGAGAGTTGAGCAGTTGCCTCCATGAGACAAGAGGCCAACGAGGTGTGGTACTGGCGGCCATCTAGTGGCAGAGCACGGTGGTGGTCGTGGTGGTCGGCGTGGTGGTCGTGGTGGTCGTTAGTGTATTTATGTACTTCTTTGAGATATTTATTATTATTATGTTCTTTGTGACTATGCATTATTATGTACTTCTTTGAGACTATTTATTATTATGTACTTATTTTGGACTATTTTTAATCTCATGCGGACAAATTCATGTTAGTGCTATTGTCTAAATTGAGACTTTAAATATAAAACCAACAAACATCAACAACTTCTGCGAGATAAATCGAAAGAAAAACAACAACTGCTACATTCGAACAAACTTCTCAGCCACGTCTATTCCCTCTACTTCCTCCTCTTCTACCACGTCTCGCACTTCGTTGGCCACCACGTTATACTGAAAGTTGCGTTGTAGTGCATAGTGTTTAATCGCCACCTGTGCAGCTTGTTTCGAGTGAAATATCTGCCCCTTGTAGAATTCTCCATCAAAACCACCAACAGTAGACCCTGGAATTACGCCATATGAATCAGCATATGATAATTCCTCGTCCTTTTCATTACCCCGCAAGTAAAAATATGGAGGATAATTAGGTAGTTCTCCTCCATCCCCGTCGTCGTCCTCCTCCTCCTCCTCATCATCATCGTCTTCCTCATCTCCGTCATCACCGTCATCATAATCATGATCGGATGGCATGCTCCATGTGTCATCACCGTCATCGTCGTCTTCCTCTCCATCCCGATCCTCACTGAGCTCAGCATGTATCTCAGCACCCAAACAATAAGGATTTTGTGCCATAAAATTCCAAAGCACATTTAAGCTATCATCATCGACAATAGGCATTGCATAATGAAATAAAACATCATTCTGCCATTCTGGAAGACAGTAGGTGAAACCTGTAATCACAATACTATCTTGTACTGTTTCATCTCTAATCCGTATTCTCCGAATTAAATGATCACAAAGTTTCTGATTGTTCACCCTGGATGGAATAGTCATCTGGAAACTTACACCACCAACAAAATGGACACCCAAATTGTCTTCTACTTTCTCTGATCGCCACCGAACAGCTAGTTCAAATTTTCTAAAACCACTACATTAAAAACAAACTCACTAATTACTAACTGGACAAGATCATTATGATGAATACATGAAAAACAAATTACGACTCTTACCTGTTATTAGCCATCTTCCCAGCAACCAGACAGCAACACCAGAGCTTCTTTCAGAACTTCTTTCAGTTTTTTGGTGATGAAGAACCGAAGGAAAGGTGCAGTATATATATGGTGATTGGGTGGTGCTGGTGTGGAAAAAAATGGCAGCGATAAATCCCCAGTCTGGGGCGCCGACACTTTTACCTTCTTAAAATCGACAAAGCCCCAGTCTGGGGCGGCGCTGCTGTGTTTTGTTTTTAAAAAAGCACCTAGAGGCAGCGCCTCAGTCTAAGGCCTCAGCGCTTTCAACATATCAAAAAACACAATATTCTTGTAAATAGTTTTCAAACCAATATATTCGTGGTAAATTTAAAAAAAACAATATTCAGGGAATTTACCCAAAATAGGATCAGTATCATTTTTCGAATAGTTTTGATGTTGTAGTGGTATTAACCCTAAATTGTATTTTCCTGAGCCTGTTTGGAATGAACAATTTTGTCGGAAATGGAATTACATTTCCCAGGGTTAATGACACAAATATTGTCTTTTTTAAAAAAAAATTACCACCAATATGGAGGTTTAAAAACTATTGACAACTATATTGTGATTTTTGTTGGTTAGCAGCGACAAAGCCCGAGACTCAGGTGCCGCCGCATTTTTGAAATTTTTTCAATAAGTGCATAGCGCCAAAGCCCGAGACTCAGGCGCTGGCGCGTTTTAAAATTTTTAAACAAATTAAAAGCGGCAAAGCCTGAGTTTCAGGCGTCATCGCTACCCTCTCGTTTTCTTATCTTCTTCTCCGCCACTCACCCCTCACACCCCTCTCGCCCAGAACAGAAAGAAAGAACGCAGCTCACCCACCCACGCCCGAAACCAGTCCGAGAGAAGGCCGCCAAGGAAGGAAAGCCGACGCCTCAGTCTCAAGCGACGGCGTCGACTTCAGCCCAAAGGCGCCCAACTCAGAAACGAGCCCGCCGCTTTGTGGTTCCCAAACCAGATCTGGTGTTTTTTGGAGAGGGAGAGATGTCTGACGACGAACAAAACCCCGACCACGGGAGACGAAGGGGCAGAGGACGGCGAGGCCAACGTCGCGGCGACCGCTACAGGGGTGAGTTTTTCTCCAGCGGTGATGGCCGGAATATTCACCGGCGGTGGTCGGATTCTCGCCGTCGGCTCCAAGTTTTTTTTATGTATTAATTAATTTTTTTTCCAGTTCCTAGGCTTATGGACCCTTGTTCGATGAGACCACCACCTGCGAAAATTGATACAAATCCGGTGGATCCGAAACTTCTTTGGGAGCATGGTCACCATCGTATTGACGCAGTTTGGGCAAACGAGGTAAGTTTTCAAACTATTTCTATAGTTTTTTTATTAGCCGAATAGAATAGAATAGAATTAAATTATGATATAATTAAATTAAATTACAAATAGGTCTTAATTAAAATAAATTACAAATAGAATTAAATTAAATTACGAATAGATCTTAATTAAATTATGAATATAATTAAATTTAATTACGAATAGATCTTAATTAAATTAATTTACGTGTAGAATTAAATTGAATTACGAATAGATCTTAATTAAATTAAATTATGAATATAATTAAATTAAATTACGAATAGAATTAGATTAAATTACCAGTGGTATTAGAATAAGTTTAGTTTAGATATATAAATATAAATATTAGGTGAATTGAATTAATATAAGTTTTGTGCATTATAGGCTGGTGATCGACCTTACCACATTCGTCATACAAGCAATTTAGTGCGATACCATCCACTTTACCAGCCATATCTCGTCGATGCGGGCTTGTCTAGTGTTCTGCCACTAGCCCCTCTTACCGGTGATCCGGGTTTGATTACTGCGCTCGTAGAGCGTTGGCGACCAGAGAGATCGACCTTCCACATGTCGTTCGGTGAGGTGACGATCACGCTAGAGGACGTTGCGACACTGACCGGTCTAGCGATCGACGGTGATGCTGTCGTAGTAGACATACCAGACGAGGACTGGTCGGCTATGTGTCTTCGACTGTTAGGACGGACTCCTACTGATCTTGGCGGCGGCGTCATTAGGATTGCTTGGCTCAGGGAGACTTTCGATGAGCTACCGCTTTCTGCATCACCCGAGACTACAGAGCAATTTGCACGAGCGTATGCGCTGTCTCTGATGGGAGGTGTCTTGTTCTCCAATCGATCTGGAGGTTCAGTTCACCTGCAGTACATACTTTTGGTGGAGGATTGGCGCAGAGCGGGGAGGTTTGCTTGGGGAGCAGCCGTGTTGTCCTACCTGTACCGTGAGATGGATAGATCGGCGTAGCAGATGACGGCATCTTCTTCACTGGGTGGCGATTTTGGTGGATGGTCAGCCTTGCTGATGATCTGGACCTGGGAGCGATTCCCTCATACAACACCACTACATGCGGAGACGGGTGCGCAGATTACTCAGGACTTAGTGCCACGTGGCCTTCGATGGCTTCTGACCCACACCCGTCAACATGGAGATCTGTTCTACCTGTACAAGCTGTGGTTTGACGAGTGCACGACATTCATGGTTAGTATATACCATTTTGTTTTATAGAATAGTTTTAATTGATTTGTTATAGATTTAGGAGTAATTATGTGACCAATCCTTGTGTGTAGTGGCGTCCGTACTTTCATAGAGATCAGGACTATAGTGGTACTGTGATCCAGTCCGACACGTTTTGAGCAGTAGTTCCGCTGGTCGGCATGGTGGTCGTGGGGGTCGTTAGTGTGACTATTTATGTACTTCTTTGATATATTTATTTTTATTATGTACTTCTTTGGGACTATTTATTATTATTATGTACTTTTTTGGGACTCTTTTTAATTTCACGCGAACTAGTTCATGTTAGTGCTATTGTCTAAATGAAAACTTTTTTAGATATAAAACCAACAAAC